CCTCGGCCTCGAAACCCCGTGCAGCCCGCGGGATGCCGAGAATGTCTGTCCTTTAAGAACCGTCAGGGCGGCCGGACGGTGTCTGGCGGTTAGGCCGCTGCGGTGACCGGCGGTGCTGTTCGGTCCTCCAGGCTGCGCGCTCCGAGGAGCAGGCACCGTCTCCCGCAGGGCGCGCTCGCTCTACACGGGGGGCCCGAATGTTGAATTAACGGGTTTGTTTTGGTGTTATTCTTTGTGAGGAATTATTAATAAATTATCTTTTTGGTGACACATCGATTCTTCCTTCTTCTTATGAGTGGCGTCCGTCAGTTTTCCTGCTTTAGAAATGGCTATATTGAGGATAAATGAACTTGAGAGAAAGCTTTAACGTGCAGCACCACCTAGTGGGGGAAACGTTGCATTTAAATTCATTTTAAGTTGCTTATATTTAGAGCCCATTTGGCCGTTTGCAATTAAAAAAAATTTTTTTTATTGATGAGAGAGAGAGAGAGAGATGTGAGAGCAAAACATCCATTGGCTGCCTTCCTCATGCCCTCCGCCGGGACGGAGCCCCCGCCCCAGCCCCAGGCATGTGCCCTGACCAGGAATCACACTGGCAGCCCTTTTTCTCTTCTGTTGTGGGTAAGGGTAGCTGACCCCGCACTCCGCCACACCCAGCCAGCTGAGCCACACCGGCCAGAGCAGTTTGCAGTATTTTGATAGAAGAAATTAAAAATACCTCGGGAATGGAGGAAGCTAGGCACCTCGCTTCCTGACCTTAAGGTGAGAACACAGGTTGAGTGCTGACTGCCGCCGAGGCATGTCTCCAGGCATAAGTAATCCAGGTCCTGGCGATGAAGTCAAATTAGGGTGTTCTGGGAGGAATGGTTTGAGTGACTGCCATGTGCCATGCTGGGTGCCTTCAGATTAAAAACCTCTTTAGTTGAAGCCTTTGAAAAACCTCATCAGGTTGGTATTGTAATATCCCCATGGTAGGCTCAGCACAGGGACAATGGCCACTGCCCCTTCAGCCCTAGCCCTGAAGCCACACAACTCGGTTTCTTCCTGTCTCTGGTGCTTCCGAGCCACTGTCCATCCGTCGGAGCGCAGAGTGAGTGCCTGCAAGAGATTGAGCATCGCCCTTTCAGAGGATGCCTGGCCTTCCACCTCGCCCAGATGGGTGGAATCCCCACTGATATTCACAGCCATGTGTTGTGGGGTTCCTCTTTCTGGCAGAGGAGCTAGGGTGGGGAGGCCAGGTTGGGACTGGGACCCCTGGCTCCTCAGGGGGAACCTCTCGCTGTGAAATCCCTCCCAATTCTCACCTGCCACACTTGGGCACGGGGTCAGCCCCTTTCATGTCTCCGCCTCCTACTGGTTGCGTAGTGGCTTTTTAATGTCCTTAGTTATAGGACTTATGTTCAGCTAGTCTTCACATAGTTCTCTAGGTTAGTTGTTCTGTAATTTGTAATTTTTTAAAAAACATATTTTATTGATTTTTCAAAGAGAGAAAGGGAGAGGGATAGAGAGTCAGAAACATCGATCAACTGCCTCCTACACCCCCCCCACTGGGGATGTGCCCGCAACCAAGGCACATGCCCTTGACCAGAATTGAACCCGGGACCCCTCAGTCCACAGGCCGACGCTCCGTCCACTGAGCCAAACCGGTCAGGGCTGTAATTTGTAATTTTGATGTGGTCATGGGAAGAGGAGAGCACAGTGTTCACTACTCTGCCATCTTGACCCGAACCTCTAGAATAAGTTGTCTTAAATGAGTTTACTGACTTTGCTCTCTTACATTAATGTCAGTAATATAAGGTTTTAGGATTTTTGAAGTGGGAATGAGTTCCAGTTTCATAGTGGAGAATCCAGCTCAGCCCCCAGTTGCCCTTTGATGAGAACTCTCACATTGGCTCACTCTTTCTGGATGACAGTCCCTCTTTCACTTAAGCCTACAGTAATCCTACAAATAGGTAAGGCAAGAGTTTTTGATTGGCATGTATGCCAGAATGAGAACGAAACTCTTCTGACTTCTAGTAGAGTGCCCTTCTTTCCTCTCTCTGGCCATGATGCTTACATTATAGTTCTTTCAGTTAAAAAACAAATAGTATGGAGCCCAGCCGGCTTGGCTCAGTGGTTGAGTGTCGACCAAGAGGTCACAGTTCGATTCCCGGTCAGGGCATATGCCCGGGTTGCAGGTTCGATCCCCAGTGTGGGGCATGTAGGAGGCAGCCGATCAATGATTCTCTCTCATCATTGATGTTTCTATCTCTCTCTTCTCCTTTTCTCTCTGAAATCAACAAAAATGTATTTAAAACACACACACACACACACACACACATACACATACACCAAATAGTATGGAAAGTGTGGGCCTGTTAGCCAACAGAACTCTTGGGCTGTGAATTTCATCACTAGGATGAGTAGGAACAAAGTGGACAATGCACACAAGTGCTTTGGACTGGGCAATGCTCTGGCCAGACTGGAGGGAGTTTGTCTTACTGGTCCTCTGAGAAAACTCACTTCACTAGGGCAAAAGGCTTTTTACCTATAGTCCAGAGGGTCTGTGGGTCTCAGAAGTTATTATCAAAATCCTATGTAAAACCGGGTGGAGGGGAGCTATGGGGGGAAAAAAGAGGAACAACTGTAATCTGAACAATAAAGATTTAAAAAAAAATCCTATTTTGTCAAATCTGAAAGGGAATAGTGAACCAAGACAGTTAAGTCCCATGTCAATAAGCAGTGAAGGCTACTAAGGTGGTGTGGGACCATCCCAAGAGCACTAGACCAGAGTTTATAGCTGAGTTCTAACTCTGGTCCTGCCAGTATACTTGCAGGTGAGTATGTTTAACTCAGTTTCCTAAGTTCTGGAATGCTGGCCATTATTAATGGTCATTAGTAAGATGGACGGTGGTAATGGTCAGTCTCAACTGTATCTGTAATAAACCAGAGAAGCTGAATTGTGACGTTTCAGACAGTGGTAAGGGGTAATGATATACCTATCATACCATGGAAGCAGCTTATGTTGTACAGAGCTAGCTTTAGTTTTGTCTATATTTGAGAACTTTGTATTTTGAGAACAAAGGAACCAAAGGTGGTTAGAAATTATTGTCCTTAAGACTTTGTTCCACATCTAAGGAAAAGAGTTTTAAGTTTGAGTTTAACTAAACTTCTACATTACAGATATTAAATGTGCTTTTTTCATAGTCAGCAGATGCTCACTTGTTGACAACAGAGGAGAGGAACCAAGTTATACTCGACCTTAAAGCAGCAGGATGGTCAGAATTAAGAGAGAGAAATGCCATCTACAAAGAGTTCTCCTTCAAAAATTTTAATCAGGTAATTATTACATTTTCTGGCTAGTACCCTGGTCTGTTTTTGTCACCTTAGGCTGTTACTTCTTCTAATACTACTAGTTGTCTGATCCCATGTGGATCCAGGATCCAAATCCTCTTCTTTAAGAATTCACTGATACCACCCAACTGATTGGATGATTCATATTTAACTCTAGGTTAAAGTGGGTGGTTAGTGTCTTTTGGAAAATCAAATTCTGAAACCACTATTGCTTTGATTTGGTGTTAAATAGGAGATTGAGTTTCCTTTCAAATTTTAAATAACATGATAAAAGAATGTGAGTTTTTAAAAATGTTTATCCAAAGGGGACATTAGTAACAGCAGTTGAGAAACACACCAGCTTGACTGATTCCTCCTAATTTTCTTGATTGTCCAGTTTTCTTTCTCCCTCTAGTTGTATTTCTGTCTAAATCATCTCCCAAGCTGCACCCTCTTCTCTGATTGGCTCCTTTCCCCAAAGCCCCGTAGGCAACCCTTGAAGCGTTTCTTAAAAGCTGATCGCCAGGTAGAGGCTCAGCCTTAACAGGTACCTGTCCCATTAGGGCGCCACCCTGTTTAGAGAGTCATCTCCCATGACTTACCTTCAGTTCTTACTCCATTACATTTACTATATACAGTCATTACTTTTGACTGTTTCATGTTTGTTCAGTTAGTTTGGTAATCCTCTGGATAGATTTATTGTTTTTATTTATATTAGATGTCAGCATCTACAAGGCAGAGACCACGTTTGCTTAAACAACTCTCTTTTGTACCTAACACAGTTCTGTGTACAAACAGGCATTGGATAAATGCAGATATTGATTACAGTGTTTGCTCATTTCTGGAAGGGTGTGTGAGGACCAGATTTCTACCAAAGAAAGCTCTGACATGTTTTCTTAGTAAATGCCGTTGGCTCCACCGAGCTGAATGCCCTGTTCTGCTTTCCATCCATCTGGCTGCCAGCCTTCTGCTGTGAGTCTCCAACTCCTGAGGAAACCTGGACCAAGCTGACTCCCTGTCACTGCTGCCCCATGTGCTCAAAAGCTCTTGTCGGGGGCTTAGCACTCTGTGGCTGGTGGCAGGGAATCCCATTGGTACAGTAAGCTTGTGCATAAGCTCTAGGTAGCATTTTCCAAGCTTATTAAAATTCTTACATGTGTACAGCCTGACTTCTTTAAGCCGGGGTTAATTTATTGGGCTTGAACATGTGGCTTAAAGTACTTGAGTAGTGTTGCCTCAGGCTCTGCCCATGAGTCAGTCGTCCAGCCCTACTCTAACCTTGTGCTGGGGTGACTTTTGGAAATGGGAGGGAAGGGAAGCTGCCCAGGGCATCCTTGATTAATTGTAACATTATTCATCAGGACATCTAATTAACTAGACTTTCTCCCTTCATCCAGCTTTTAGGAAAAAGAGGCAGATGACAAGAAAATCATCTGGTCAGGGAATGTATTCAGAGAACCAGCACTGATATTATATCCTAGAGTCATTTTCCCAGCCAGGCTCCTATGGTTTCTGCATGTATAGTGGCCTGTCATGGCAACTGATGTCCTGACAACTATCAGTGCCCACCAGCCAGAGACCACCAGAACATACCATTAGTTGAACTGGCCGAGTTTATCTGCTTGTTGAAGCGAGGGAGAACACACAACATAGGGAATTGTGGGCCATCTCAGGAAGATGGTGATAGACATATTACAGGATTTGGGCTTGTGTTAGTGAGTTGGGAGAGTTTTTAAGGAATTAGGGCTTTGCTCTGGAGTGGATGCCGTCAGAAAATGGTAATTTTAAAATTCAATATTTATTTTTTAAATAGAGGAAATCCTTTTATAAAATTTTTAAAATTTAAATATAGTTGGTATGCAATATTATCTTAGTTATATTAGTTTTAGGTGTACATATAATTTAGCATTTTAATAAATTTTCCCTATAGGGAGAAGAGACTAAAGTGGAAATTGATAAAAAACAATAGTCACTCATTAGCTGGGGGGAGGGAGTGTTTGGTATTTTGTTCATGGTTTCTCTATATTCAGATATCACTACAGAGTGTCTTTTTTTGTGTCTTAGTTTCCTAGAGGCAACCTAGTCAGCAGAGGAGTTGATCAGATAGAGGTAAAGGTTGGTGATGACATGTAGCGCAAAGCCCCCATCCAGACTCCTGCAGCTTTCTCTGGCTGGGGGGGGTCAGAGGGGTGGTCTTCTGGGTCCTGGTGGACTCTGGTAGAGGTGGGTGCATGCTCCAGAGTGGCATTGTCGGACATTGATGTTTATGTTCAATACCAAGGCCTAGGTGTGACATCCAGGCCAGCTCCTAGCAACACCAAGGCCATGTTGACAGTCCCCAGCCAATTCCCAGGTGTCAGGGCCCACTGTGCTTCATGTGTTCCTGGCAGCTACAATACCCTTTCTGGCTTAAACTCTGTAAACTGGAGGGAGCCACTGTCAGAACTGGTCCCCTGTCTCTTAAGAGATTTCAGCCCACATTTGGTGGTGTTACCATCCTATATAATAAAAGGCTAATAAGCAAATCAACTGAACAGTGGAACAACCGGTTGCTATGATGCTCACTGACCACCAGGGGGCAGATGCTCAATGCAGAAGCTGCCCCCTGGTGGTCAGTGTGCTCCCACAGGGGGAGTGCTGCTCAACCAGAAGCCAGGCTCCCACACTGGGAGTGGGCCTAAGACATCAGTCGGACATCCCCCAAGGGCTCCTGGACTGCAAGAGGGCACAGGCCGGGCTGAGGACCCCCCTCCCCAAGTGCACGAATTTTGTGCACCAGGCTTCTAGTATATATATTGGATGATGCTCCAACCAACTGAGCCACACACCCAGGGCAGCATGTTTTTAAATCTTTGCTGAACATACAGGTAAAAAATATGTTCTGTTTTGTTTGTTCAATAAGTTATGATCATTTTTCTTTACATAATATTTTCATTTACCTTCAGGAGTAAGATTACACTTGCCTGGGTATTACAATTTTTAAGTGGTTTATGTAGTGTGTGTAAAATGGTATCACAAACCCTGACCAGGTAGCTCAGTTGGTTAGAGCGTTGTGCCGCTGCGCCAAGGTTGTGGGCTCAATCCCAGGTTAGGGTATATACAAGAATCAACCAATGAATGTATAAATAAGTGGAACAACAAATCAATGTTTCTTTCTCTTCCTACCTCTCTCTCTAAAAAAAAAAAAAATTGTATCACAAGTTTGCTTTAGAATTCATTTTATTTTATTACTGTGGAAAATGAGCCATACATTTTAGAAACATTCTCAATCTGGATAAAAAACCTATTTCTCAAAACTTTGGGTTATTTTAGGTTTTACTATAAAAAAGTAAATGGCCAGCAAAGTATATTTGGACTTTTTTCTCTTTGAGGTTTTATTGTAGGATATAATTGGTTCCAAATAGTCCACATGCATTTGATAGCTCAGGTGGGTGCATATACTTAGAGAATATAAATGTGAAAATTCCCCAGGGATTCTCATAGTGTAGATGGGTGAAGTGGCCATACGTTTCAGTGGTGGTGGTGCACGTGCAGCATGTCATGGGGTGGAATGGTGTGGTGAGACTCTGAGCAGTCAGAGCATGGCAGTGCCAGGACTCGAGGCAGGAAGTTTCCTTACTTGGAGTGCTTGGACTCAGGGTGGGGTTGGCATTTGTAAAGGAGTTTTGCTTTCTTACTTTTCATGTGGACATAAGGAGGGAGAGGTTTCTAAGTGACATAAAAACTTACAAGTTTGGTGCCCTGTATTGAAAGAAAATGTTAGAAATGTGAGTGTGAGTGTTCCATAAAGATAAATGTTGTTACGCATTGTCATGTATGAATAAGCGGGAAGCTTAAAGCAGCGGAAATTTTAAGCTATATAAGTGGGTGCCAAAGGGGAGGCTTAGGAACCCAGGAAACAGCTAGTGCAGATGCCAGCAGGTGGAGCCCTCTAGGGCAGGAGTCCAGCCTGGCCAGGTAACACAACTTTCCTTGGAAGGCTGTCCCCATTCCCTCACTCTTGGATACAGGGTCCACCATTGTTCAGCATGGAAATAAACTTAGTATCAGGAATAGCAGCGGTGTTGGTGCACCTGGCCTGGCTTGGTACCTTTTGGGTGAATGAAGAATTCTGTGGATGGAGGATGTGAGGAGTTTCCATTTGGTAATGGAGAACACTTGTAATTCAGGAGAAAGGGACTGAGTTTTATGAGACAGAACTATGATCCCATGCTTCCCTACAGGAGCTCCTGTACCTTGTCTGTACCTTTGTAGGTGGGCCTGCCTGCAGAGCATTTGGTTTTGCTAGATTGAATCATATGAACTGGCTGATCTTCAGCCAGTTTTGACGTAGAAAAATGGCTTATCAAAGTGTAGTATCTGTTGCAGAGCAAGGTCCAAGCTTTACTTATTCCATATCTTATTCATCACATTTTGGTTATTGTAACTGGTACGATAAAGATTTCTGGAGCTGGAGTGGGAAGGGGACTTCTGAATGGCAAGGCCATGGTGGTGATGGTGGTGATGGTGCACCTAGCAGCAGTAGCATCATAGGTGAGTTTGGGGTTTGAAAAATGTTTTTCTTCCTGTGCCCAGAGCCTCTGCTGTAGAGCAGTTGAAAGTTACTATTGCTGACTTACTTTATGAAAGTGAGGAGTTTGATAATAGGCTTATGGTTAACATTTTGAAGCACTTAGTGAAGTTAAAGTTTGATGATATCAGATAGAGGATCTACCTAAAACATAGTCACAAACCCAAACAGACAACCAAAATGAGGAAACAAAGAAACAACTCCCAAATGAAAGAACTAGAGAATTCTCCAGAAGAAGAGATAAATGAAGTAGAGATAAGAAATTTATCTGAAACAGAGTTCAGAGTAATGATGTTAAAAATGCTCAACAGTATGAAAAATAATATAGTAACTATGAAAAAAGAACAGCCTGAGATAAAGAATGACAACACAAATAAAGAACACATTGGAAGGAACACACAGCAGATTAGGGGAAGCTGACAATTGAATCAGTGAATTAGAAGATAGAGTTGAAAATTCCACTCAATTAGAGAACCAAAAAGAAAAAAACAAAAAACAGGAGGACAGCTTAAGGGAGCTGTGGGACAATGTGAAACGTAACAATATTAGAATAGTAGGTGTGCCAGAAGAGGCAGAGAGGGAGAAAGGAATAGAGGTGTTTGAAGAAATAATGGTAGAAAACTTCCCTAATCTGGTAAAGGAAAAAGTCATACAAGTTCAGGAGGCACAGAGAACCCCAAACAAGAAGAACCCAAACAGATCCATGCCCATACACATCATAATTAAAATGCCAAAAATTAAAGACAGAGAATCTTAAAGGCAGCAAGAGAAAAGAAAACTGTTACCTACAAAGGAGTTCCCATAAGGCTGACACTTGATTTCTCATCAGAAGCTCTATAGGCATGAAGTACTCAAGGTAATGGAAATCTGAGACCAAGATTACTATATCCAGCAAGGCTATCATTTAGAATAGACGGTCAAATAAAGAGCTTCCCAGACAAAAAAAGGCTAAAGGAGTTCATTACCACCAAGCCAGCATTACAAGAAATGCTAAAGGGATTGCTGTAAGGGATTGCTGAGAAGAAGAAAGAGAGAAACCTAGTCATACAGAATTAAAATGGCTATAAATAAGTACCTCTCAATAATAGCCCTAAATGTAAATGGATTAAATGGCCCAATCAAAAGGTGTAGGGTAGCTGAATGGATAAAAAGCCATGATCCAACTACTAGTATATGCTGTCTACAAGAGACCCACCTCAAAACAAAAGACACACACAGGATGAAAGTGAAGGGATGGAAAAAATTTTTCCATGCAAATAGAAAAGAAAAAAAAAAAGCTGGAGTAGCAATACTCACATCTGACAAAATAGACTTTAAAAGCATCATGCTAAGCTAAATAATCCAGTCAGAGAAAGATAAATATCCTATGATCTCACTCATTTGTGGAATATAATGAACAACATAAACTGATGAACAAAAATAGAGCCAGAGGGAAAAAATATATACTAGAATATAATAGAGGTAATCCTGTTACTTGCAGATTTTTAATATTTCCTACAACTTTTGTGATATCATATTATGTTAGTACAGTTTTGGTAATATTATGATACTTAAAATCCTTTCATTCTTGAAATATTAATGTTTATTTCTTGTAATATTATATGTAAGATCATTTTCTTGAATAATTGGTGTTTATTGCATGTAACATCATATTTAAAATAGTTTTTCTTGAGATATTAAGGTTTATTGCATGTAACATTATTGTCTTTCTTGAAATAAAATTGCCTTTCTTGAAATAAAAAAGAAACTGAAAAAAGAAAGTTTGATGATATCAGAAGAAAGACAGCGTCAATGAAAACTTCAGTTCTCTGCAGACGTGGTGGAGTTTCCACAGTGCTTTTTGGGAATGACTTACTTTGGATTTTATTGTTTATTGTTGTGCACCAAAGCTTGATGCACATCATAGTTATGCAATAATATAAATGTCACATTTGAACACTCTTGAAAGCACGAACTCAGCCTGGTGAGGGTAGGGAAGCAGTACTAGAGAGGATGATCCCAAGGTTTAGGCATTTTATAGATTAGGAGTGTCGTTTTGCTTTTATTTAAATTTCTTTAAAATATATTTTTTATTGATTTCAGAGAGAGAGAGAGGGAGAAGGAGAGAGAGAGAAACATCGATGAGAGAGAAACAGTGATCTGCTGCCTCCTGTACACCCCCCACCTGGGATCGAGCTTGCAACCCAGAATGTGCTGGTATGTGCCCTGATCAGGAATTGAACCGACGACCTCCTGGTGCACAGGATTGATGCTCAACCAACTAAACCACATCAGCCAGGCTCATTTTGCTTTGAAAATATAGGCTGATGTCTGTGTATCTGGGAGCCAGGAAAAGTGAAAACTAGCATTGTTATCACATACAGTAGCTTGTGCTTAGCACGTGTCCACTGTAATCACAGCCACCTAGAAAGCTGAGAAAATGTCCTTGGTTGTTATGTTAATGGAGAGTAGAGACACTCTACCAAACTTAAGATTTGAGAAGCTATTAAAAATACCTGGATGGTGTATTCATGTTGGTGTTCACTTTGGAGTTATTCTAGAGTCCCAGGGAGCCCTGGCCGGGCCCAGGCTGACCTTGCCAGGTGATGGCAGGGACATCAAAGTTGGTGTTTATGTTTACCCGGGTAGAGAAATTAGAGTCCAAAATGCTATCATTTGGAGTCTTGCTTCTGCTGTTTAGGTTATAGAACAGGTTTAGACCTGATGTATATTTGTAAAAACACATGCAATAGATAGACGAGGGGAAATGTAAAACAGGTGTCAAAAATGCAAATATGACACCACACAGCAGTGTGAAAATGCTGTGGTCATTACACCGTCCTTTAATAAAAATGGATTTTTAACTGCATCATTTTTTTCTTAGTCGTGTAGTAAATCTTCTGTTTACAGAACTTAGCCTAAGTATTTTGTAAAAGTCCAACAGCCAAGAAATATAATTTCCTCAACAGTTTTTGTCTTACCCTTTTACAGATGGCGTAAAATCAGGTGTGTAAAAAAATAAAAAGCAGTTTGAGCTGACGTGAAAGGTATTTCAGATTTATGCTTTGCAGATGATATTGGTATGATTAATGCATTCATTGCTTTTTTTTATTGCTTTTCACAGATAATGTACATGATGCATGGAAAATGTTGTGGGTTTAAATCTTTGCCAGGTTTAGAGTATGAATATCAACAGATGTTATCATATAAGTACTATAATCATTATAAAATAAAAAATTTGTCATGAAATGCATTGACATAAATTTCATTTATGTAAATTGCCTTTATTAGTGTAAAACCTTAGTGTAGCTGTTAGGGTTTGTGAAGCACTTTAGATTAGATTAACTTGGTATAATGTGGTCACAAATGGGTTGCTTTAAATTTAACTGACAAGAAAATAACACTCAAAAGTTAGAAAATTACTGAGGCATTTGTTTTCAGCCTGAATTGCTGGTACCGCTTAAATAGGTTGAATATGAATTAATAGCAGTGGACTGCTAGCTCAATAATTACAGAGAGTAATTTAAAGGAGACCTTAAAGAATAACTTAAAAGTATTTTAGTCTTGCTTTTTTCTGTTCTGTTTCTGTTTTTCTTTGGTATGCCAGCCCATTGCTTCAGTACAGCCATTATCAATAGTGTTCAGGTTTGCACAGCAAGTTTTGTCAGTAGAGTTTTGGTGCATTATGGCCGTGACATAAAGCTTGCGTTCAGCTGTTTTAAAATATTGGATGCTGGGTCCTGATGGAGTGGCCTTAGCAGCTGGTCAGCTCTCCCTAGCAGCAATTGCAATGCTGTGCTACACTTGTGTGGCGGGATCATGACCAGTTGCCCTCCGTCCTCAGGAAGGATTCAGCCCACCAGTATGGACAAGGGGGTGAGGGTCTTCTTCCCTGCTTCTGAGCTCTCTGTGTTCTGCTCTTTTTCTACATCCTTTTACACAAAACAAAGCAGTCCATCCTCTCCCCTGTTTTGCAGATAATTTACCATCATATTGCCCTTCTGATCCAGGCTGGAACGGGCCATTCTAACTAATTCACTGATTTTACTGGAGGACACTGAACCAGACTGAGATCATGGACTTGCTTGTGGTCACACTGGTCATGGCACAGTTAGTAAGTGCCAGACTCGCATCTCTGCTTCCTACAGCAATATTTTTAGATCCTACTTTGATATAGAAAGGTATTTTTATTTCTTTTCTAGGAGATATCTTATTTTCCAAGGGCTACCTGTTGGATTACTTTTCTACTTTAAATGGGTTTGACCATACTTCCCTGAGAAAGGGATTATTCACCAGCTAAAAACAAATAAAGCTATACTTGTTTAGGAGTAACCCAGGTATCATTGTTGAGCAACCAGAGATCATTCAATTATATCATTAAAATCAATATAATCAAAACAGCAAATACTGCTAATCAATCTGTTTGCTTCTGTTTCAGTTGGGAAGGTGGGATTATGGCCTTCTCCCATATCGTTCATCAAACTGAATTCACATACCCTGCCCTTGCCATTGCAACCCTGGCTGTGGATGTGCACCAGGTGCCTGGAGAAGACCCAGTCAGGGTTGGGCTGGGAGCCACGTGGTCTCTTCGCTGAGGGCCAGCAACCCTAGCTCTCTCTGTTGGGATCAGTAGGTAGTGAGGTTCCTGAGCTGGCAACCACTGAGGGGCTAGCACCGATCTGGGCCCACCGCACAGAAGGAGGAAGATGCAAAATAAGTACATGATTCTGTTTCTGCCCAGAAGAGCTTCCAGTTTTGCTGGGGAGGTGGCCCATCTGAATTGTACAGGATAGTTGATTTTTAAAATTGCCATGTTAACCAGGCACTAACGTGAAGTAGTAATAAGCTGAGGGAGGTGTACTCCATTCAAGATGGCTGTCTGGAGAAAGGGGAGCTTTGAGTTGGTCCTCAAAGGTCTGGTAAGTTTTTTTTGAGGACAGGAGCTAAGGGAGAAAGAGGGCACATTGGATTTGTATATGCTGGTGAGTGAGGGCCCTCAGATTGGCTCAGTGAGTAGGCTGAAGACTGGCAGCGCGGGTCCCTGTGCTCTCCCTGGGTTTAGTGTTGCCTCAGGTTTAGACTGTTTGAGAGCCAACTCTTGTCTTTCTGTTTTTCCTCCAACTTGCTTGTTTCTCTCAGCAGCACCACCATCCTCTCAAGCACCCAGACCTGAAACTGAACACTTATCTTGGTCCCCAGTCATCAAGAACTGATCAGTCTTCGCTTAGTGTCCTTCTCCAAGATTGTGCTTCTGGTCGGTGTGCACCTCCCCTCCCCCAGAGTAGCTGTAGGAGCTTCCCAACAGCCTTTCACCTCTAGGTCTTGTCTGCCTCCAGAGGCCTGCAAGCTGCTTTGTGGTGACCAAGTGGGTCTCTACTCAGAAAATCCCAGTTCTTTCTATTTTATCTTACAAAAATCCTCTTCTCAGAGTTTTTCAAAACTGCCCACAATCTGGCCCTAATCCTACCTCTCATTACTTCTCTACGAGAGGCCTCTTTACTGTGTGAGAGATTAAACTGTAAAATACCCCAAAGGTCACCTAGTCCTTTCCCTTACTGAAGAAGTGGGGAACCAAGGCTCAGACAGGGATAGCACAAAGCATTAGTGGCCATGTTGGAACTGCAGCCAAGACCCCCAGCACCTCAGTTCAGTTCTTTTCTACCTTTATGCCAGCTGTTCTTCATCTTCCTATGCTCCATCCCCCATCTTTCCACATTCCACCCACTTCTAGCAAGTTTTTCCTGACTCTTATGCACTTTGCACAATTACTGTGGGCTTGGCACTCGGCTAGACACTGGGGGTGCACTGGTGAGCAAAGCAGATATTGCCCCCATTTTCATGGTGTTCACAGCATAGTAGGGGAGGGAGAGCTTAAACAAAGAAAACAATCCTATATAATAAAAGCCTAATATGCAAATTGACTGAATGGCGGAATGATCGGTTGCTATGGCATGCACTGACCACCAGGGGGAAGACACTCAACGCAGGAGCTACCCCCAACCCACAGGCCCCAGGCCAGCCAAGGCGGGTGCCAGCGGGGGCCCCTCAATCGCCCCGCCAGTCACCCAGGAGAGGGAGGCAACCGGTGGGGGGCGGGCCCAACTAGTGGGCAGTGCCAGGCCGACCAAGGCGGGTGCCAGCGGGGGCCCCCCCGATCGCTCCGCTGGTCGCCCCACAGGTTGGCCCTGATCGCTGGCCAGGCCTAGGGATCCTACCTGGGCACTAATTTCGTGCACCAGGCCTCTAGTGAATATACAATTGCAGTGTGGTAAGTGTCATGAAGGGAAATCCTAATAGCTAATGTTTAAAGAACATTTATGACCCTAGCTGGTTTGGCTCAGTGGATAGAGCCTGTAGACTGAAGGGTCCCAGGTTTGATTCCGGTCAAGGGCACATGCCTGGGTTGCGGGCTCTCTCCCCAGTGGGGGGCGTGCAGGAGGCAGCCAGTCAATGATTCTCTCTCATCATTGATGTTTCTATCTATCCCTCCCTTCCTCTCTGAAATCAATAAAAATATATTTTTAAAAAAGAACATTTATGGGCTAGGCCTGTTGTAAGGATTTTACATGTATTTATTAATTTAATCTTCACAAAATCCTGTCAAGTAGGTAATATTTTCCTCATTTTATAGATGAGAAAACTGAGTTTTAGATGTAGTGACTTACCCATGGCCTCACTGCTAGTAAGCAGTGGAGTTGGGATTTGACCCCAGGCAATCCCTCTCATTTGTCTGTGTGTGTATGGCCTCTCCAACTAACAACAGGAGGGGAATAATGGGAAGACCAAATTCAGTTTGAGGAGAGCGGGCAGGGAAGGCCTCTCTAAGGAAGCAGTAAGCTGATGCTTTTTGTTTCCCTCCGTTGAGGCATTTTATTTGCACGTATGTATTACATCCTAAGAAGAGAATCCTAGAATTTTCTGTCCTGGTGTTTTTTTGCCTTGCTTCTTCCTGGTCCAGGATGCCAACTGAGGTTGTCAGTAAAATGGGTGGGAGCAGGTTTTTCTGCATTTTTTTCTAGATCTTTGAGTTGCACATCAAATCTGGAGCTGATCACTCTATATTTGTTTAACCTGCCCATGAGGTTCACAACAATGTTCCCAGCTCTGTCATCATCAGTTATTTCAAATTTACCGATGTAACCAGGCTTCATCATCACAATTAGAAACCGGACCTGGTGACATTGGAGCATGGTCTCATAGGAACCTGGTGTGTGCCTGTCCTTTCAGCATTGTTGATGCTCTGAGAGCATCAGTCAGGACATTCATGCACCATCATGGCGGCACAGAAGGGTGGAGGAAAGAGGACAGGAGGGGCAAGCATGCAGTAATATGGGAAGTGGGCAGGCTGCTGCCAGACTTTCAAAGGATCAATTCCTCCAAAAAAAGACTGCCTAGTGGAAGAAGGCAGATGAAGGATGATGCATTTTCTTAAAAAGACCAATCAGGCCGAGGCTGGTTTGGCTCGGTGGATGGAGCGTTGGCCTGCAGACTGAAGGGTCCCAGGTTCAATTCCGGTCAGGGGCATGTGCTTGGGTTGCGGGCACATCCCCAGTAGATGTGCAGGAGGCAGCTGATCGATGTTTCTCTCTCATCGATGTTTCTGACTCTCTATCTCTCTCCCTTCCTCTCTGTAAAAAATCAATAAAATATATTAAAAAAAAAAAAGACCAATCAGAGGGCAGAGTGGAAGTGGAGGGGGCAAAAGTCAGATGTGGAGAATAAACAGTAAGGAGCCTGTTGCATTCATTCAGGTGAGATGTCATCGCTAGGAGGTTGTAGACTGGGACAGTGACAGAGGGGAAGCAAAGAAATGTATAGGTTGGAGCTATATTTTGGGGTTTCAACTAGTGGAACCATAGAAAATGCAACTATTAAGAGAAAACCCATTTCTCTAGGGAGGAGTGATGATGGGTTGTGAGGAAGAAGAGCAGGGGTTTGTTACCAATGACTCCCAGATTTAGGACCTGGGGGAATGGGTGGTCAGAAGTGACATTTACTGAACTGGG